CAGTTTTATTATTGTTTATAATTGCCCCACGATATTTTCGGGCCACAGAAATAGATCAAAATAAGTCTATACGTTCATTAAGAACTTAAAAGACGATACGATGTAATTTTTACGTTTTCACAGCGATTAATATGAATATGTTTCATTTTTTAGGATGCTGCGCCGTCTTGTCTGGTGGAAATTCACCGACGTTTCAGAGGTGCTTTCTGCTTCCGTCATCAGGGATCGCGAACACTCTTGAATTACATTACATACTCATTCCATTAGGACGGGTCCTGTCCGGACCTGCTTCCAGGCGTTGTTGTGATCGTTAGTTCCGCGCGTCGCCGGTAGGTGTGACGGAGGCGTGGTTTCCACGGAAACGTCGCTTGTTGAGAATCTGTCAGTGTACGGATCTCCAGTCATGTCGTACAACTTCAGTGCCAATCAGGTATGTTGTGAGCTGCTAACACAGAATTTTCGTAATTTAAAGGTCCCAGTTTGGGGTCGAACCCAGAGATACGGATACGTGTTAAACTTATACCAGTTACCGACCGATGTAGACCACTTGTTTTTATTTTAATATCTGAAATTTCGCAGTACCTAGCTGGAATGCTTTTAGAAATTAGATTGTTTGTGATGGGGTCTAATTTTACGTGTTTCCATCAAGTCAGTTTAAAAGAATCTCTTACGATAATCGATCAGCATTTGGATTAAACTCTGGCCTCTTGAATACAAAGTGTATTAAGTCCATGAGGAATAGTGGTAACTATAAGAACCACCTGCTTTTATAATCAAGTAATTACATTTCGCCCACTCGCTATATTTACGGGTTTCGTATGATTCTTAAATATTATTCGAAGGTTTGTAATGGAGATGCATTGTCGTTTTCTTTGAGGTAGGAACTGTATATTCAAATGTTATTTAGACTGCATGTTATTAGGATGATCAAATCAAGGAGGAAAGAGGCTGGAGTGTAGCACAGATGAAAGGGATAAGAAATGCATAAAAACTTCGGCAGGATTACGAGAGGAAAGAGACATCTTTTGAGACCTAGGCGTAAATTGGAGGATAATATTAAAATTAATCCTACGGAAATATATGGAATGACAGACTTATAGTCTGGCGTAGGATAGTGACCAGTGGCGGGCTTTTGTAGACACGGCAATGAACATTAAAGTTCCGTAAAGGACGGAAAATATTTTGACCAGATAAGCTACTGTTAGATTATTAATAAAGTCACGGAGTGAGTTATGAAAGAATTGGCAATGAGGATTTTCAAATCCAGAGGTTCTTCTGTGAGGTTTATAAAGTCGACACTTTTCTTTCTAAATTTTCAAGGTAACGAAATCTCAAGTCTCGTAATCGAGTTCTTAAATGGCTGAAGGAGGCTGTACCAAGTCCTTTGTTCCAATTCGGGAAATACGAAAATACTCGGAGTAAATCGTTGGCTGATGTGCATTTAGGAATCTAATCGTTTTAAACTGAAACTCGAGTAGACTTGAAGAAGTTCAGATGGTTGCAACCCGTCAGAACGAGGCTTTATCACCAATTCGCAGTCATCACCCTTATCTTAAATCTAGACACGCCAACAGTTTACTGAGGTTCAATCCGATCGCGTGATGTTTTTCAAAGTAATAAATTGTTCGGTGCTGAGGTCAACGCGTATTGTGCGCCTGTGAAGCTTGCTTAGATTACACGCGTGTCGGATAAGTTGCCGAATGGGCACTGTAGGTAATGCTAGTACTATGTACTTGTATACCGACGTTCTTTGCACGG